ATAGTAATTTATATATAAAACCGCATCACGTTTCACTATGATCATTCTTCAGTTGACTGGAGAATCGTCAATTAAATTAACAAAAAACTACTTATAATGCCTTAATAAATAGTAATGAAATTAAACATAACTTAACCAAATTTAAATTTATACTTCTGCACATTTGTACTAATTACTTCTTTCATTATACAAAAATTTTATTTAGAAGTGATATTAGTACTAGCCTTTGATATTATTACTTGCAAAAAATAATACAGCCACCTGAGGGTTTTGTTTTCCCAAACATGGATATTCATGATTCTCATTAGACTGGTTTCTGGCACTCAAAAGAAAAAATTGCAGGTAACCGATATATTGCCAAATGCATATATTGCAATAATGAGCAAACAAGAAGATCTGAAAAGCTTCATAGTCATGTTCTTACTTGTGGCAATTGGCCTGCTGCTAAGAAAAACACATATATTGCAAAAGATACTTCTAATAATCGCAAGCGAATTAGAGATATAACTCTTAATGAAGTTCAGGCTGAAAGTTCTGATACCACTATTAATAGCTCTTCTGTATTAAAACAGCAAGAAAGTTTGACAAACTGGGTTAAACCAATGTTACAAAGTCAACAAACAAAACTAGATAAAAAGTTACTTAATGCTATTATCTATGGCAATCTTCCTTTTAACCTTGTTAATAATCCCTATTTTGCTCATTTTCTTAAAAATTTATCTCCAAATTATCATTTACCTTCTACATATATATTGAGTACAACAGTTCTTAACGCAGTATTCTCTACTCACTTGACTAAAAAATTAAATACAATAGCAAATCTAACTGATGTTACTATTGCACTGGACGGGTGGCAAGACATATCCGGTAACTCAATATATGGATTTATGGCTTTAAAAGAAGACCAGTATTATATACTCGATATTATTGATTTATTGGCAAATCATTATAATGCTGATTTTCTTAAACTACAGCTTGAAAAGATTCTTCAATCAAATTTAATTCTATTAAATCATCCGTTATTGCATGTATAACTAACAACCCTTCAGTTATGATTAAAATGCGATCTGATCTTAAAACAGACTATCTTAATATTGTTCCAATTCGATGCTGTTTACATTTCTTTAATTTGCTAGCTAAAGATATTACTAGTTTTCGAGACATATTGCCTGTTATTAAAAATAATCGAAAATTAGTTAATTATTTTACATCATCACATATCTGGTTTCGAACTCTTAGAGATTGGCAAAACAAAGAAAAAATTAACTATTCACTTGCCATATTTTGTGAAACCCGATGGTATTCCCTTGCCAAACTCTGTCTAGGGATATCGGCTTATGAAAAAGCTTTTCAATATTGTATTGAGCTTAGCAAAACTAATAACTATCCTTCTATTAAAACAGAAATTCAAGAAATAGTTACTAGTCATTATCACTTTGCAAATAATGATACACTTGTAACGATACTTACTTCTGTAGTAAATGCGATTGGTTATCTTGAATCTAGAAATGCTACATTAGCAGATATTCTTAAAGAATTTATTAATATTCATTAAATTATTTCTGCAGCTACTATTCCTATCTATGAATTTAAAAATCATGCCTTAGTGGCTATTGGAAAGAGAGCCTGTGAATTCTCTAACCATATTTATTTTGACACATTATTTTTATCTCCAGCACATAAAAGAATAGCGATATCAAAAAAAATGACAGAAGATTCTATTATTAAAGCCAGTTTAGAGCTTGCAAAAATTTGGGGCTTTAATAAACAAGACGCCACTCTTTTATGTAAAGAACTAATTAATTATAAAAACGGATTTCCTCTATTTGATAAAGAAAAAAATTATACTAATATTAATTCTAGAAAATTTTGGTCAGAATTTCCTAGCAGTTATCCTTTTTTACGCCAATTTGCTATGAAAGTTTTCTCGATTGTCACTTATTCAGCAGAAGTTGAACATCTTTTCTCTGGTTTGGGGCTTATTAAAACGAAATCAAGAAACAGAATGTCTCCTGCCTTAATGGGAATTCTAGAAATACTTCATAATGAACTAAAACAATCATTATCTAAAAAATCTCATGATAATTCTAAAAAGCAGCTTTTATCTAAAATTAATGATGAGATTAATAATAATGTTGATATCTTTTGGGAAGAGGAAATGGTTAGTGATGAGGAATTTGATAATACAATAGAAGAAATCGATATAGATACAGATAATGGTTTGTTTTTTATACTTAATTTTGATTTTGTTCAATTTTTCATATATGGATCTATATTTACATTTTTTTCAAGTGAGTAGAGAATACTGCGTTAAGAACTGTTGTACTCAATATATATGTAGAAGGTAAATGATAATTTTGGGTGATAAAAATATTCAAAAATATTGATTAAAAATTAACTTAATCAGTTAATAAATTCGTTCTACGTATTAGATAGCTGAATTAATTAAATTTCAAAAATATCACCTTTTAGATCAAAGCTAAATGTAGTTGCATACAAGTTTACAAAATTTTAGAAGTCGATGTGTAAATACAAACCAAGATGTTTTAAAACTATATACAAGGCGAATGAGATTTTTCTAACAAGGCTGAGTAAACATTTTAAATAAAACTTATAAAAATCATTATATGCACAATCGTTATATATAAAATAGAATATAGCCGCATTAATGAATGCAAAGGTAAAAATGCTTTATAGTAGTTGCAATATAAATAATCATATTTTTATTTTAAATTCTAAATGTAATGGGCTTGCAAAATTCAGAAATGAATTAGGTTTCTAAGAGAAAAAGATACGCAAGACAATTTATTTATTTATTGCATTGCTACAAATATACCTATTGTAATAGTCAACTTTAACCCCTTAACCACGCCACATCCAGAATGATTGATAAGTTATTAAAAATTTTAAATTTTAGAAGAATAAGAATTTATTTCAATAAAGAGCTCAACATTCGCAAGCCTTCATAAAAAAGTATTTCGCTCTGATAATTATCCAAAAAGCAATTATTAATCACATACCTGATAATAATCTAAAGCATAGTCCAAGTACTTAAACCAAGTCTTTCTGTACCCATAAGTCTTCTATTATTTAGTGGCTTGAATGAGCCTAGTCTATCCATATCTATTCCAGAAATCATTTAGCCTTTTTTTACCGTTTTGCTAAAAACATAAAAAGGTTCTTTAACGCATTCTCGAATCATCTAAGAGGATTTTATTACATAATTCATCTTTTATTTGTTTATATTATTCTTCTAGTATCGTGGCTATAGCCTTATGCAAGCCTTGCACAAGCCATATATAGCCTTAAGCCACAAATAACTAATCCAAGATAACAAGTAAATAAAATTCTGCGACAAAATCTCAATCACAATAGTGAATAATACATGTAAAAGAGGAGAATAATAAGTAACTAAAAATTCGATTATGTTGTATGAAGTCTCAAAAAATTTGCAATAAAAAAATATTGATTTTTAAATTTTGTATAATAAAATGAATTTATAAAAAGGACACTTATTTGGATAAATTGATTTCTTTAAGTTAGCTTTATAACCGAGTAATTTTTTGAATTAATTTATAAAACAAATATACTTATAAAATGAATATATTTATATTAAAATAATCTTTCATATTTCGATTTTAATATTTTGCTCGATACTGTAATAAAATATTCACATTTAAGTAATTTCCCATATATATAAGTAATTTTAATTCCTAGAACAAGTATTAATTGACGATTCTCCAGTCAACTGAAGAATGATCATAGTGAAACGTGACGCAGTTTTATATATAAATTACTATAGGTGCAAAAGTAGAAATTTTCTAGTGATTGTCCAAAGAAAACTTTTTTTTGTACT